GGAGAACATAGGCAGGAAAATCTCAGACATTCCATGAGGGAACATCTTCACAGATATGTCCCCTAAAGCAAGGGACATAAAGGAAAGAATAAACAAATGGAATCTCATCAAAATAAAAAGCTTCTGCACAGCTAAAGAAAACAATATTAAAATAAAAAGAGAGCCAACCGTATGGAAAAAAATATTTGCTAGTGATACCTCAGACAAGGGTTTAATCTCCAAAATATATAAAGAACTTACACAACTCCACTCTAAGAAGACAAGCAACCCAATTAAAAAATGGACAAAGGACTTGAACAGACACTTCTCCAAGGACATAGAGGATCCAGAGACACATGAAAAGATGCTCAGTATTGCTAGCTATCAGAGAAATGCAAATTAAAACCACAATGAGATACCACTTCACACCAGTCAGAATGGCCATCATAAACAAATCAACAAACAACAAGTGTTGGAGAGGGTGTGGAGAAAAGGGAACCCTAGTGCACTGTTGGTAGGATTGCAGACTGGTACAACCACTATGGAAAACAGTATGGAATTTTCTCAGAAAACTAAAAATGGATCTGCCTTTTGACCCAGCAATTCCACTGCTGGGATTATACCCTAAGAACCCTGAAACACAAATCCAAAAGAACCTATGCACCCCAATGTTCATAGCAGCACAATTTATAATAGCCAAGTGTTGGAAGCAACCTAGGTGCCTATCAGTAAATGAATGGATCAAAAAACTGTGGTACATTTACACAATGGAATTCTATGCAGCAGAAAGAAAGAAGGAGCTCCTGCCCTTCCCAACAGCACGGATGGAACTGGAGAGCATTATGCTAAGTGAAATAAGCCAGGTGGTGAGGGACGAATACCATGTGATCTCACCTTTAACAGGAACCTAAACAACAAAACAAACAAACAAGCAAAATATAACCAAAGACACCAAAATTGAGAACAGGCTGACACTGACTAGAGGGGAGAGGGGAGGGAATTTCAGGGGAAAAGGGGAAGGGTTTACAGGAACAAGTATAAAGGACACTTGGACTAAACTAAGGCGGGGCTGGAAATGGGAGGGAGGTGGGGAGGACTGGGGTGGGGTAGGGATGGGAGTAAAAGACAGAAAACTATACTGAAACAATTAACATAAAAAAATAAAAAGAAGTAAATTGAAAAAACAATCACTTGACCCCTAATAACTTTATGCCACAGAAAAAAGCTTAAGCTTTTGTTTCATGACTAGATTTTCAACATCTGAATTATTATTACTCACGTTAACAGTCCAATCTCTGACATTATTTATGTTTGATTTATCTTTGAATATTCTCCTGTCTTAATATTCTGGTATGAGGCAACTCGGGGTGGCCCCCACTTCCCACCCACTGAGGAAGAATTACTTGGAGCTCAGTCCAGCTGTGTGGGAAGCCTTAGGCGGACCCATTCTGGTCCCCCCAGGGAACTCTGGGAATAGGTTCTGTGGGTCCTCCCCACTCGAGCACTCTCAGAGTGGACATTAGAATATATTCTTCTCCTGTAGGTGGAGGTAGGGGTGAGCACAGGACAGAAGTATAGAATTTGCTAGAGAATCCACAGTTCAGGACTAGAGACAGAAACCTACCTACTCCTTTTATCTTTCTCATCATATTGAAAGGAACCTGGGCCCCAGCAATGGACTAACCAAGGAAGGCCTAGCCTTCTGAAGTCACTGCCACAGGCAAGGGGAAGGCTTTCTCAATAAGCATTCTGCAAGGATAGGCCCTAAGAATGGATAGAGTGGGTAGTGAGGTAGGGTTGGCCAAAAAGTTCATTCAGTTTTAAATAAAACTAAAAGACACATTTTTCGTTTTCACCATTAACTTTGTTGAACAATGCAGTCACCATTTTGTTCCACTACTTTCTACCATCTTTCAGGCAGCTTCATAGTTCCATCTTTCCATAACTTTTTATCTTTTTGAGCAAAGAACTTTTCCTTTTGTGGTCTTTCAAGGAATTGAAATTTTTTCCATTAAGAGAATTTTGTAAAGATCAAAATAAATGGAAATCCAAAGGTGCTATGTCTGTTGAATATAGTGTGGATGAATCAGAATTTCCCAGCCAAGCTGGAACAGTTTTTGCCTGGTCATCAAAGAAACGCATGGTCTTGAGTTATCCTGATGGAAGATTATGAGTTTTCTGTTGACTAATTCTGGACGCTTTTCATCAAGTGCTGCTTTCAGTTGGTCTAACTGGGAGCAGTACTTGTTGGAATTAATTGTTTGGTTTTCCAGAAGGAGCCCATAATAGAGGACTGACTCCCTTCCAGTCCCACCATACACACAACATCACCTTTTCTGAATCAGGACTGGCCTTCGGTGAGGTTGGTGGTGGTTCATTTCATTTGCCCCAGGATCTCTTCCATTCCACATTATTGTAAAGTGTCCACTTTTTATCACCTGTAACAATTAATGTTTAAAATGGAATATTTTCATTACATTTAAGTAGAGAATCACATGTGAAAATATGGTTAAGAGAATTGCTTAACTTAAGTGGAACACAAACATCAAAGCAATTAATATAACCAGGCTGGTGCAGATGATTTTCAATGCTTGATTTGGATATTTTGAGCATGTCAGCTATCTCCCGCATGGTATAATGTTGATTGTTCTCAATTAATGTCTCAATTTGATCACTATCAACCCCAACTGCTCTGCCTGACCATGGATCATCATCCAGCGAGACGTCTCCAACATAAAACCTTGCAAAACACTTTTCAACTTTTGATCAGTCACAGCATCTTCGCCATACACTTCACATTTTTTTCTTGCATTTCAGTTGTGTTTTTGCCTTTCTTGAAATAATAAAGCATAATATGCCAAAAATGTTGTATATTTTCTCCCATCTTCAATATTAAAGTGGCTACACAAAAATTCACCAGTTTTGATTTTTTTTTAAATGCATGCTAATATGACAGCTGTCACAATACGATATAACAAAATTGTTTCAAATGAAGTTAAAGACAACTAAGCACTACTAGAGCCATCTTATGGGGGGGAAAAGAATGAACTTTTTGGCTTCAGAAGGGCTGTCTGACCCCCACTATCTGCCTTGATGGCCTAAGAGTATGCCTGAAGTTTCCACCACTTGGGTAATTCCTGTACGCTAAGAATTTGCTTCAAGAAATCCTCTGCTGAAATGTGCATGCTGCCTAAAAGGGTGTGGTGCACATTCATCTTTCTTTTGCTTTCTCAACACCAAACTTCCCTTTCTGTTTTGAGAACTCCACCCCTCATGAGTATTTCTAGGAAGACGAGCCTGTTTTCTACTATAAAAACCTCAGCAAAAGGTGCAGCAGTTGCTGCCTCAACCCTTCTCATACTCAGAGCAGGGGCACGTAACCTAGGGTTGACCAACCAGGTTCATCTGCTCCAGACCACAGATCGGGAACTGATGACACAGGACAGCAGAATTTGGGAGAGTGTTTATTTCAGCAGTGGGCAGCAGCAGTGGCAATGACCCTGTGGCAATGGCCCTGTCCAGAGCTGTTGGTGGCAAATGGTGGCATCCAGCAGTAAGGGCTGTCTGCAGTCACACTCTCACAGTTATTGTTCATGGTGTGACTTGGGCTGCGGTTCCAACTTCTGCGTAGGATCCCCATTCCTGCCCATTTCCCAAGTCTGTTCCTCAGCCTTCCCAGAGAACCTAGAGTTCCCCCAGAATCCTTCTACTGAATCCCCATGCTGCTTCAATGAGACAGAGTCATCCTCAGTTGCAAAGATCTAAGAATACTGACTGATACAAGGGGTGACACATTAACTCAAGAAAAGTCATAAATGTATCAGCCACAGATAGATTCATTTGTCTAATTCATTGTCATGTTGGGAAACGACAGGACCCCAGGAAAGAGCTGATGGGAGTATAAAATAAGGAGAGTCTAGTCTTATGGATATTGGCTGATGGGGCTCTCCTAGCAGGCCATTTGGACATGGTTTCAAAGCAACCTGAGGGACATCCAAGGTACCAGGCCAGGGCAGTGCAGGATGGACAGACAAATTGACAGGACAGACGGAGGTGCAATAAGGGGAAAGTTAGCACGGCTTACACTGGTGCTTCTGAGTGTGGAGCCTTACTGACACAGCCTTGCTTGTACCCTGTAGAGCACCCAAGGGAAGCTTCTGCTTTATCAGAGTAAGACCACTGATTTTATCTCTTTGATTTGCCTAAACATTTCCACTGACATTAGGATTCATGGTAATAGTAATCAGTTTGTGGGATTTCTATTCCCTTCCCCCCACCCCTCAGCAACAGCATTTAGTCCCTTTCTGATTTAATACTCAGGGATAAAATGTGCAAGGACAGTGTAAAATCTAAACTACCCAAAAGGGCAAGAGCTGTGTCTTTATTATCTTTTCCTCAGAGAGGAGCATAGAAACTGTTCACTACTCACTAAGGGAAGGGAAGGAGGAAGGAAAAGAGGAATGTAGTGAGTACAGATCTGGAACAACTGCTAAAAAGTTGTTCATGTTTTTTTTGTGTGAAGAGGAGGGGAAATCCACAAATCAACAGAATTCACTCCTTTCTGCATTCCTCTTTACTTCCGCTCAGAACAAGGACTGTGCTGGTGTTCAGTTCACTGTACAAATATACTCAGGGTCCCGTTATTGTTCTATTGGTCTTGGCTTTTCTATGGAAAGGTCACGTTTGCCTGCCAGCAACTTCAGCAAACCCAGGGCACCTGCAGAGGACCCTCTCAGGCCCAGTGGTGACACAAGCCGAGATAGGAGGTGGCAGTTCTCATGTCTGATCCCCCAGTTGAGCTCTGAAATTCTGGTTTTCGGTGAACTCCTAGGGTGCTGACTCTCACACATCCACTGGACCTGCTCTTCAAGCTGTTTCTGCTGTGGGGTGGCACTGAGTTGCTGCCGTTTTCCACCAGCTCCATGGATGTCATCAAGGAAAGGGCATTGAAAAATAACCTCAGTCAAACTACTAAAAAACACTGAAGAAAGAAAACACACAAGCTGGGTTTGACTTAAAAATTTTTTTCTCAGAAATGTTTTTTATTTTTGTATAATGTCAGTTAATAAATATTTTACCAGGATGATAAGGATGAATCATGATGATGCTTCTAAGGAATGGAAACATTTTATACTTTAATTTAAAGCTCAATTCATCAGCCTTGTCTTCTGCATCAGATCTTGAAATCTGGCAGAGAAAGTATCTTTCATGTACAGGCCGAATTTCTAACCTTGAATCGTAACCAGGTCAATATATGGAAGGCCAGTGGCAGCGGCTCTTGATCACCTGAAGCAGAGGCTTCTTAAAAGTGAGGAAGATGACAGTGCAGGCCACCAGCAGGGTGAGGCAGCTGGGAAGAATGAGCACAAGGTACAGCAGGCCCATGTCCACCCTTTCCCACTTACAGTCCTGAGGCATGCCCCTGGGCAGGTCCGTCAGGCGAATGACCTTGGAGGAGAGGTTGCAAGTGATCGTGGCCAAGTCTGCGATGGTGTGTGGATGCTGCAGGGCCTCCCAGCCCTCCACCGCACAGCAGTCATATGGATTCTGACTGAGGTAGATGGTCCGCAGACTTGTCAGGAGCTGCGCAGTCACAGCCCTCTGGGGAATGGCTCTGAGAGAGTTCCTGCGGAGATCCAGGGTCTGTAGGGCCAGGCTGCCCCTGAACCTTGGAAAATGGGTCAAGGAATTTCCTGACAGATCCAAGTCCCTCAGATTCCTAAACCCAGAGAAGTCCAACTCTGTGAAACTGGAACTGAGGCCCACATTCCTGAGTGACAGGACCTGTAACGTGGCAGCAATATTCTGGAGAGGGGCAATGCTCCCATTGAGAATCCCCCAGTTTCCGGACAGGTCTAAGTGGGTGAGGGCAGTCCCCTGGAATGAGCAGTCTTGTAATACTCCCAGCGCACAGCCCTTCAGAGAGAGGCTCCTCAAAGATGCCATATTCCTGAAATCCACACAGCTAGGGGGGCCCACGTGGTCTAACCCAGCTGGCTGGGGACAAAGTGAGATCTGGTTGTGGCTCATGTCAACTGTAGTGATGTTATTGGCATCAGTGAAAAGGCCAGTAGGGACATGCAGAAGCTGGTTGGAGCTCAGGTTGAATGACCGGAGGCTCCTCAGGCAGCCGGTGAGCCCCGGAGTCAAGTGCACCTCCGACAGCTGGTTCTGGCTCAGATCCAGTTCCATGAGCGCTCCTGGGGGCTCGTGCTCCCGGATGTGGAGCGTCATCAGGCAATTCTGGTTAAGATTCAGGTGGGAGAGGGAAGGCATTTTCTTTAGGAAGCCATCAGGCAGGTATTGGAACTGGTTCTGGCTCATATCCAGGAAGCGAAGACCTGCAAGATCACTGGAAGCAAACTCTTCCCAAAGGTTAATTGTGGTGATGTTGGTCACATTGCCATCCACAAGGAGGAACTGGGCCACCATCTCCTGCGGTGACGAGGCATTGTACAGGTCCCTGTAGAAGCCCATGTTGTTGTCCCGCAGCAGGAGGGTGTGCAGCTTGCTGGATTGGGGCAGGAGCGGGAAAAACAGCAGCTGATTGTGAGAGAGGTCTAGCATCTCCAGCTCAAAAGCAGCCTCTTCCACTGATGCCAGGAACCATTCCAGGGCATTATAGCTGACATTGAGGGACTGGAGCCCTGTGAGGCTGAAGTCCACAATGCAAGGGAGGTTGTTATAGGCCAGGTTGAGGTGTCTCAGCTTAGTCAAGCCTTCGAAGGCTCCAACCTCAATCTCAAAGATGTAGTTCCTCTGCAAATCCAGCTCCTTGAGGTGCCCCAGGCCTTTAAAGGCAGAGTCATCAAGCCTCATGATGGTGTTCCTTGCCAGGGACACAGACTCCAGTGAAGACAGGTTCTGGAGCATGAGGGCTGCCATGTCTTCTGTCAGGGAGTTTCCCGACAAGTCCAACCTCCTCAACGCCTGCAGGCTGTGAAGGGCAGCTGCCGTCTCCTGGTAGCTCTCTGAGAGGTAATTGTCAGGTAGTGCCAGGCTGTGCAGGCGGGCCTGCCCTAGGAAGGTGTCCCAACCAATGTGCTTCAGGTGGCAGCTGTGCAGACTGAGGCTCTGCAGGAGAGGGTAAAGCTGGAGGGAATGATTCCCCAGGGTGTTGAGTGGATTGGCATCCAGGATGAGCGTCTGCAAGTGAGGAGGGAGATTGCTGGGCACCGAAGCCAGGTTCTGCCCTTGACAGTCAGCGACTCCATCCACCTAGGTTTTAAAACACAGTGGTCAGCAGGGAGGAGACCTCTGAGGCAGAGGTCTGGGTATAAAAGCTTAGTTTATTCATCAGATTGTTCCTGCAACTTTTGGGAATGGCTCTAGAGATAAGGTTTTTTTTAAAAAAAAAATCCCAGGCTGGCATTGCTCAGTGGATTGAGCACAGGCTGCGAACCAAAGTGTCGCAGGTTCGATTCCCAGCCAGGGTACATGCCTGGGTTGCAGGCCATGACCCCCAGCAACGGCACACTGATGTTTCTCTCTCTCTCTCTATCTCCCTCCCTTTGCTCTCTAAAAAAATAAATAAAATCTTTAAAAAGAAAGGATCAGAAACTGCAGGAAAAAATGGAACTTTTCTTTCTTCTTTACCTTCACACTAAAACAGTCAGCTAGGAGCTGAGTTCCAGGCCTTGTTTAAAACACACAGCATGGCCCTGGCCGGGTGGCTCAGCTGGTTGGAGCATCTTCCCATACACAAAAAGGTTGTGGGTTTGATCCCTGTTCAGGGCACATACTGAAGTTGCAGGCATGATCCACAGTCGGGGCATGTACAGGGTGGGGGCAGGGGGAGGGCAACCGATCAAATGTTTCCTTCACACCAATGTTTCTTTCTCTCTTTCTCTTTTTCTCTCTCTCTCTCCCTTTCTCTCTCTCTAAAAATCAATGAAAACATGTCCTCAAGCGAGGATTTAAAAACAAAAGCAGTAAATAAGCAAATAAAACACACAGCATTTTAGAAACGATCTGAGCACCTGTCCGTTAGGTCCTGAGTGCTGACAGCTGTGCTTGCCCTTTGGGCTCAGCTCTGAGAAGAGTTAAGGACCAAGTCTCTGTGTGGGTTTGAGTCTTACCTCTGCTACTTGTTTCCATGTGACCTTGGGCAAATAATTTAGCTTAAGTGTGTTATTTTGTCTGAAAAATGGAGGTAAAGATAGCACCCACTTCAGAGGATTGTAGTGAGATTAGACAAGAGGCTGCACAGTGCCTCACATACAGTGGGCACCATCGATGCAATTGGTCCATATTGCATGGTAAACATTTTTACCATAACACCAGTGTGTCTGACAGGGACACTGCCCAACAACTGGCAGTACTGTGGCATCTTCATTTCACCCAAAGAAATTTTGTCTGGGATATTCCTCTGCATTCTGGATTGACATATGTTACAGCTCAACAGGACTTCAGAGCTCATCATCGTCTTGAATTGCACAGAGTGGGGTCTGGAGAGAAGTGGAGAGTCAACGGCAGAGCTGGAACTGGACCCACAGCTCTTAATGCCCAATTCATTGCTTTTCTTGGATGTTGTTCTACCACAATTGTGCTGCCTAAGGTGGCAGGAGGAATGGGATGACCCTGGTCTCATTGCAGAAGTCACTCAAGCCTCAGGATAAACTCAGCCAACTGGCTTACAAAATTGGCAAAAACAATCAGTGACAGGGTGTTATTTAGGTGCCTAGAAAAAAAGTTTTAAGTGACAAATAGAAGAGCAATGGCTTTCCTTTGTACAGATTGGCCAGAAGGACAAGGCCTGTGATTGCCTAAAACTGTGAGCACAATCCCAGTGGGCAAGTGGAGTAATGGAAAAAGGGAGACAAACCCTGACAGAGAGGAAGAAGAATCCCAGGTTTGGAAAGATGACAGACTCAAGTCTGAGTCTTGGCTCTGACATGTATTGGTTTTGGACCCTAGACAAGGAATTAACTCTTCACAGTCCCAAGTTCTTTTTCTGATTATTAAAATAAAACCTTCTAATAATTAAAAATGTATACAATATAAGAATACAGAAAATTAAACGCCTTTGTAATTTCAGCCTCTCCCTCAAAGAAACGCCACCAACCTTTTGTTACATTTGCTTCTGGACTTTCCTAAAGATAACACCTACCTTTTTTGAAAAAAAATTTTTTTAAATGAGACTGCACTCTAAAAATTATTCAGTAATCTACTCTCCCTCACCTCCACCCCAGTAATACGTGACAGACATATTGCCTTGGCAATAAAAATAAATTTGATTACATTTTGTTTAGCAACTGTCTAAACATTGCATGAGTAGAACAGTGGTTAAAAGCAAGAGTTTTAGGGTTAGTCTATCTTGATTTTTCTTTTTAACATACTAGACCTTGGTCTAGTTACCTAACCAGTTGGGATCTTCAGTACTCCACCTGTAAAATGGAAATCATAATTTTTCATAGGGTTTTTTTTGTAATGAGGATTCACTGTGATTAGTTATGTAAAAAACTTAACAGAACTTGGCACATAAATGCTTAATAAATGTTAACTATAATGATAGGCATGAACTAATCAATTAATCAGTTGAGCTTTGCATTGTATCTCATTTCCAGGTGAATTTGTCAAGTTCCTTCCATACCTTCCCTTTTCCCTAAAAGTCTTTGGAATTTTGACTGGGGCTGCATTACAATCATGGATTCCCTCGGGGAAGAGCAGACATGTTTACAAAATTAAATCTCCCCATGCAGAAACAAGGTGTATTTCTTTATTTGAGTAAGTCTCGGTCTCCCCTACACAGGAACTCTCTGGAGAATGTTGTGGCTAGGGGCTTTCCGAAAAGTGTGAGACCCTGCTTCACCACAGCTGCAGCAGTCCTGGGGGTCATACTCCTGCAATTTTCTCTGGTCCCACTGAAGTGCTGCCAAAGGGCCATGGGGCCATCAGAGCCCAAGAAAAACTCATGATGTCCATTTTATGGTAACGTCACATGACTAAGACAAGGAGGGGCAATGGAGGGCACCTGGACTATCAAACCCTCAGCCCTCAATTCAGAAAAGCCACAGGAAATCCACTCTTTGCGTTCACTGGCAGCGAAGTCCCTGCTCCTGCTCACCAGGTTAAAAGAGGGTCACGCAGGGAGTTTAGCCTGAATCCTGAAAGACCAAAGCATTCATGCTTCATGCCCTCCTCTTCCTGTCTCTTGTAACTCCTGAATTAGCTACAGCAAAGTTAACCTTTCACTGTGCCTGTAAGGGAGCAATGGGAATTTGTGTAGCAGAGACTAACAATAGCAACACAGCAATAATAATAGATAAAACCCACGGCACTTACTATGTTCAAGGCACTGTCCTGAGTGCTTTACATACATTAACTCATTTAATCATCATAACAGCCCAGTGTTGTGGCATCGTTGGTTGGTACTATCATTACTTCCATATTGTACGGATGAGGAAACTGAGACCCAGAGTGGCCAAATATCACCAGCTAGTAAGTGGTGGAGCTGGGATTTAAACCTGGTCTGGCTCATAACCTCTATCCCATACTGGAGTATACAACAGTGTAGCAGTTAGAGTTTGTTGAAAGTGGTTAAGAACTATCACCAGCTGGGATTTAAGATTCATCAGCCTTAAGAACACATTTTTAAATATTAACCCCGACATCCAATTTGTCTTCCCAGTACCTGGGATATAATAGGGCTCAAGGAATGTTTATTAAATATTTGTTTCTCAGGCAGAAATGTTTGTTTCTCAGGCAGATTTTTTATATTGGTGAGTTATAAGCAAAGTAGAAAATTTCTAGAAATGTGCTCAGTTGTTACGAGCCAATCTGTTTCCGCATATAGGCAGAAAGTCCTGAAGAGAGTAGACCACAAAAGCTCAGGTATCTCCTTCCTGGATTGTCTTCAACTTAAGCACCTTCAAGGATGTTACTGTGCAGTGTGCATGGGCAGCATGCTCTTCAGTACAGCTTTTTTATTTTTATCTTTACTGATTTTTTTTTTAGAGAGGAAGATGACGGGAGGGAGAGAGACACATTGATTTGTTGATTCACTTATTTATGCATTCATTGGTTGTTTCTTGTACATGCCCTGAATGGAGACTGAACCCACAACCTTGACATATTGGCAGGGTGCTCTAACCAATGAGCTACCTGGCCAGGGCATTCAGTACAGCTTTTTAAATATTTGCTCTCGACTCACTCTCAAACTCTGAGGCAGGGCATCTCCAACTTTAATATGCCCCACATTATCAGATTCTGATAGCATTAGTGGAGCTCAGTCATCCAGATTTTTAAGAAGGTGCTTTTGTTCCAGGTGGCTAATCTAGGCCTATCTCTAGGGCCTCATGTCTTCAGAGGATATGAAACAGGTGGGGCAGAGCCTTTCCTAGGCATCCTCTCAAACCTTTGGTTAAAGAGGAAGTTGCACATGGCATCACACTAGAGTAGGTACAGAGTGGTTCTGATTCATTCATTCCCTGTCCTCCTTGACTGACAATCCATCAGCTTTCCAAAGAGACCAAACCTTGTCAGGACAGGAGCAATGGATAGCTCAGAGTTCCTGGGAAAACTCACCAACTTACAGCCCCTTTGTGAAGCAGCTGTGGCCATTCCACTGCGATATCTCCATCCCACTGTCAAGAAGTGAAAACCAAGGCAGAGCCAAAGGGGCAGCAACTCCATCTCAAGTGCAGCACTGTGGACAGAGGGCAAGGAAGAAGCAAGTAAGAGAAGGATGGATGTCCCAGAGGGCTGCTTTGCATTCTCAGTAGAAAGTGCCAGTTCCCAGTTATGTCTGGTCTTGGAAGGCCACAACTACAGGCAGCTGGAAGTCCAGACTCTTTACATAACTTAAGTTAGCCAATACTTTTAACTTTTCGCTGCAACTGTCAAAAGAACCCATTCTCATTTTGCCTGTACCATCTGATGGATGGGTGGCTGAACACTGAAACTGCCAGAGTCAGGCAACAAAAGTGAGAAGCAAAGGATTTGAGGAACCAGGTCTCAGGTCACCTACAGTTCCTGTGATTTTTAGTTCTATTGAAGCTTTCTTCCCAAAGCTCAAATGTGCCTGATGTACCACCTGAGCTCAATAAATACGTATTGAATGAATGAGTGGTGAACAGGATAGAAATATTGTTTCTCTGGTCCCGTAGAGTTGCTAATTGTTTTGCTGACATGAGGCTATTTAAAAAGAGAAAATCTCATTGGTTAACTCATTTGATATAGCCCTTTGAAAACAGAATTTTGATATTTTACCTGGATAAGGGAGCAACTAAGGGGAAAATGAAAAAAAAATCTTCAGTATAATAAGGATTATTGTTGAAGTGTGGTTACCAGTCCCCTTACCTGGTCAGTGCATGTAGAACAGAAGTCACGAGAAGGCTTAAGATTCTACATATACCAACAGAATTTTAGAACTAAGAGGAACCATAGTAGAAATGTAATAGATCCTCTACCATCACATTTTTACAGGTGAACACACAAAGAGATAATAAATGGCTTATTCAAAGATCAAGATCAACTTAGTGGCAGGACTAAAAACAGCCAGCAGGTCACCCTCCTGGGGCTCCACAATGAGAAACCAGGCTAATTTCTCTCACTGCAGGTGCTGTTGAATTGACTACCCTGTGGGAGAGTTATAGCCCAGTAGAATCCCCTCCCAGCTCGGCACTCCTCAGAATCTGAGGCAAGTGCCTGGCCCCAGTGTTCTAACTGCCCCATCCTTTTCTTGATGTCTGCCCAAGAGAGGCCACAGGGTCTGCTCTCCAGTCTTCTCTTCGGCCAGCAGCACTGGCACTAACAAGAACCTCCTCCCTCACCCATGGACCCTTCTGCCTGACACATCTCGGCTATCTAGGGCCCCTTCCTCTTTCCCTTTCTTTGAATAAGTTTACACAATCTCTAGATCTAATTTTAACTTCCTGGTAAGATTTGAATACTCACCAGAGAAAACAGACTAATAGAAAAACTAAACAAAACCAGGTAAATCAACTTCAACCTTTTCCTCAAGTCAGGTCAGCTCTCCTTACCACAGAGGGAACCTCCAATTCAGATTCATCAGTACTTGCCCAATACTGGGAATCCTCTTCCCAGACCCTCCTTCTGCTTCTGCACCTGTGCAGGAATTATCACTTCATGGCATGTGCAGGGCACAGATGGCAAAACAGAACCATACGGGCTCCTGTTCTCACCGTCCTCCCAATACACACGCATACATACCCCGGAAACCTTGGGATCACTGCCCACCTTGAGATAAGGTTGTTGGACTAAGCAAATTCCAAGATGCCAGTTAATGTCAGATAAACAAGAAATAACATTTTAGTATAACTATGTCCCATGCAATATTTGGGATATACTTATACTAAAAGAATTAATTGTTTATCTGACATTCAAATTTCAAGGGTTGTTTTGTATTTTTCTGAGGAGAGGCAAGGAGATGGCAACCATGGACCTGTTCCCTCCTCTCCTCCTTCACCAACTCTGTCAGACTTGGGATGGCACCTGCTGTTGTGACACTGACCCTTCTAGAACAGCCAGCCCCATATATTATAATACTGACTTTAGATGTGTTCAGGGAGAGAGTGCAGTGTCTTCAGGGAGAATGTAACTCTCAGACTGGAATGATAGATAGGCCAGTGTCACTTATGCCCAAAGTGTGATTTTAATTTCTGGGTCAACAAGACAATTTTTGAAAATTTAAAACATATCTTCTGCCCTGGCTGGTGTAGTTCAGTGGACTGAGCTCAGGCCTATGAACCAAAGGGTCGACAGTTCAATTCCCAGTCAGGGCGCATGCCTGGCTTGCTGGCCAGGTGCCCAATAAGGGGCATGCAAGAGGCAACCACACATTGATGTTTCTCTCCCTCTCTTTCTCCTTCCCTTCCGCACTTTCTAAAAATAAATTAATAAAATCTTAAACACACACACACACACACACACACATATTTTCTCCTTTCTCTTAAACTTAGTCAAACAGCCCAGAAAAACTCTTGCTATACCCTCTGGGCAACTCTTTTTGTCATGAGATAGCATGGGAAGATTATGCAATCTAGAACCAGACATACCAGGATGTGAATTCTGGTTACAGTATTTGTTATTTGTCCTTGAGTAAGTCACATAAAGTCTCTGAAACTCAGTTAATCCTCCTATAAAATGAGGATAATAACAACTATTCAGAGTTTTAATGAGAATCAAATACAATAGTATATGTGAAAATGTTTAGTTAACTATGAAGGTAGTTGATAATATGATTATTTTTTATGAGTTCAAAACACTGTGAGCTGGCTGTGTGCATTATTATTCCTACATAAAATTGCCAACATAATTTGGCACCTACACAAAGAAGGAAAAATAATGAATATATCATTATATCAACTAAATATGTGAAAATATGAAAAAGGTTAAATTAAAAATTCGACATTAATAAATTGCAGAATAAGACTAATCCTGGGAACAGAGGACTATGCTGGTTGAGAGCTGTCTGTCCTAAAATCCATAGTTTATTCTCACCCTACCCTGCTCTGGTTTGCATGAAGCTGACTCCTGAAGGCACTATGTCTAAGCTCTAGGTGTCAGTTGGCCTCCAGCTGGCTTGATCGATGGTAGGCACTCCTGGGAGATTAGAAGGCAGAAGGAAGGAGAGAATCCAGGGTATTTCTCTCCCTCTCTCTCTGCCTTGGACAGAGAAGTCCTTGAGCTTCTTCTGGTAACTCCTAGGCTCCGGTAACACCCTCCTCCCTTTATCATCATTCTGCCTAGGGGAGGTCACAGCTTCCTGAAGTTACTGTTCTCTGAAAGTCTGGTTGATATCTCAGCTTCTTCCATTATGTATAGCCAATTTCTTGCATTAAATTTCCTCAGTTTTAAATAATCTGTGTCCTTCTATTTCCTGGTTGGACTCTCACTAATACAATGATAGAAATGAAAATGGGGTTGAAATAGTACTAAACAAAAAAAGATCCTGGCTGGTGTGGCTCAGTTGGTTGAGCTTTGGCCGGTGAACTGAAAGGTTGCTAGTTTGATTCCCGGTCAGGTCAGGTCACATGCTTGGGTTCAGGGTTCGTCCCCAAACAGAACATGTGCAAGAGGCAACTGATGCATGTTTCTCTCTCACATCAATATTTCTCTCCCACTGTTCCTCCCTTCCCCTTTCTCTAAAATAAATAAATATTAAACAATAAAAATTTAAAAATAAATATTTAAACAAAAAAGTATGTAATGATTCTAAGAAGAAATGAAAGACTCACAACAATAACAATTTAGGTTGAGAAACACCTCCTGGAGTGTGTAGCTGTAGAAGGCTTTCTCAGAGCCATGCCACTGAGTTTGGATGCTAATCTCACCCGGGAATTTCCTGAAGTCTCTCCTGTGTACACAGGACTGCTTCTCTCCATCCACACTCGGCCTCAGGTGGGTGACAACCACTCAACAGTGTCTCTAGCTGTATGAGAGTGTCTAAGCTTGAGTGTGCAAATAGTAACTGTCTCATTTTATTCCTCTTTTTCTGACATCTTCTGAAAAAATATACATCCATTTTTTAGGCCAAATGTCGCTCATCTTAGATACATTTTTGGCAGAGAAAGGGAAAACAATTATGGTGAAGGGCATGCAGGGAAGTTTGACATTTAAAAATTTAAATGAGGAAACCTGGAATCTCTCCTCATTCTAATTAAAAGGACTTAGATCTATGGTTCTTATTTCATGGGCTGTGAACCACTGGGAAAGCCATGGAGCCAACACAAAGGAACTACAGATCAACTCATGTTCTGAGTAGGGGCTGAATAAGAACTACATGTCCTTCCAGTCTGGGTTACTATTGGGAAAATACTCCATATAAGACATGAAATCCTGACATGAGAAGCAGATGGCATTAACAGACTCTGCTTATATCTGTTCTTTTTAAACCAGATAATGAAGTTGAAGATTTCCTTCCAAGAGCGGAGGCAGTAAATAGTAAGTCCCATTCTCTTTGCTATACAGCCTATAAATCTTATGTTCTTTCACTCATTTAATAATTTCTATAAAGCTTCTCTACATATCCTTTTATCCAGTCATTGTTGTTATGATTATGACTAGCACCAGAGACTATGAGCTCCTAAAGCCTTGAAAGACAAGGCACCATTGACCCAGGTGCTGGCAGGAGACAAGATTCTGTATTATGTCTGTAACAGATTTGGCTTGGAGATTTTAAGATTATAAATCCTACCTCATGTCTAACTGAAGTCCTCTTAATGTTTCCTTTATATTTTTTCTTTGTCTTCTAACTATTCTGTTTGTGTCCAATCATCACAAAATGTCCTTGCTGGTTCTTTTCTAAGAAGTTCGTGAAATATTAAGGTTTCAGATGCTCAATGGCATCTCATTAATTTTTGGACTATGCATTCTAATTGGTTATCATGGAAACCTGAGTTTCAACCCCATATTCATCCCTATCTATAAAGAATATTCCTTTTTTTCTGTAGAAAAACAATATGGCTTTTTGTCTAGCTTTTCTCTCTTAATCTGGTCATAACAAGTAAGTGGTAAAAACAGATTCATTTCATAAAAACAGCATGAATCAAGACTGTATTCTGAAACAAGAACCCCAACATAAGGAAGAAGAATGCATAATGGCTGAAAAATTCCTCTTTTTAAAAAATTATGCCTGTTCACTTTTTACTTACTTTTTGCTTGTTTGCTTTTTATATTTTCACA